ACTTTGAGGTGGTATCTATTGTTGGAATAATCATTAAAATACCACTGAGAAAAATGTTGGAATGGCCTTCTTACTTTTCACTTTGACATAGGTTTTCTTGGTGGAAACAATGGAATTGGTTAATTTAGGCCACAGTGATAATGAATCTTACATTTCTATTTTCCTCTGTAGCGTATTCTGAAACAAACACAATAGATAATCTTGTTTATAACTAAAGCTTGCAATGTTTACAGCTTTCTACTATTATTGGGTTTGGATTGTGGTGGTTCTTTAAAAACAAAACAATGCCATTTCTTAATTGTATGTTATAAGTAAAACAAATGCATCCATATATAACAATGATTTGTCTTGCTTCCTTTGAATTTCTAAATGGGTTATATAGGTTTTTATCCTAGTATTATTTCACAAGAGCCACTTTTATGCATTCTTCAAATATAAGAATGTTTAGTAAGAAGCCTCCATCTCGAGGCTATATGGGTTATTTTAGACTATGCATTCATGAAAGTACATTGTCAACCTCTTTCTACTTTCTGTGCTCCCTAGTGCGACAATCTAACCTTCTTTTAAACAATGGCTACAACAGTAAAACAGCTTAGGATGTCATATTGAAAACAGCGAACACCTTGGTGGGCAAATTTCTCTTTAGAAACGAATGTTATTTTATCTGGAATATTTGAGATTGAAAGAACTATGACTGAATGACATACATTCATGATCTTTTCAAACCCAGATATTTTTGCAATGGAAACTCAGTTGTAAAGGGTTTGTAACTGGAGCTTTTCCACTAACAAACACTATTCATGCCATACAAGGCACACCATGTTATCTTATTGGAAAATATTAAATTCATAGTTTATGTGTCAAAAATAAGAGCAAGTGGAGTCCTTCTGTGCCTTGACAATTTTGAACAAAAAGCAAAACTAGGTTTCAAACAGAAAGGATGGGGGGGGGGGCAACAGGAAGAAGTTTGGTTGGGCTTTCTTTCCCAGTTCCTCATCATCACTTTAAAGAATCCTTTTGATGTAACTTTCGGTTATTGAACATCAATTTGGAAGGAAAATAGCAAGGAATAAGTTAGCTGGTCTACTCCCTTTTTCAATTTTCCCAGCTTATATCTGCTTGTTAGCATATGCAGTTTTTCTAGACCAAGGGTGTCAAACTGGTGGCCCGCGGGCTGGATGTGTCACACGCAGGCCCCATCCACTCCAGCTACACAAATGGGAAAAACATCGTGAAATGTCACATGATGGCAACAGCGAGTTTGACACCCGTCTTCTAGGCTCTTCTCAACCATGTCAGTGATTTCTTAAGCATATGAGCAGTTGCCTTCCACGTTCTGTTTATTGTTCATTAGAAACATGTCATAAGTAAAGGAATAAGACATTCAGTAGAGTATAGCATTTACAGTAATGTAAGAAGAAAATAATCATTCATGTAATGTCAAAATAAAACATTTATGTTCTAAGAATATTGTCAGATGAGGCTATACCATCTGCTACTTTAAAACATATTGGATTTTTTTTTCTGATACTGCTACTGCAGCATCTGGTATTTTCAGAAAGATCAGCAAACAACTGTAGTAGCTTTACAACTGTCTTCAACTTAAATTGCACTGCCTTCTGTAACAAATCCTTTTAGTTTCTGAATTATGTTTTTCTAAACTGATTTTCCTGGACTTCAAAACAGAAGTAACATGGGGTGTGTGAATTCTTCTGGTCTAAAATCTGCTTTGGAGTCTGCTAACATACATGTTCCAAGCCAAACATGTCATAGTATGGCAATTATTTTGTGATGTTTTGTTTCTCTGCTCCTGCTTACTTAAACCCAAATGGGACAGTTTTATTTACTTACAATGATAAAAAAAAAATTATGGAAAACTTGCTATTGTGTGCCTAAGAAATCTAAAGGAAAAGCTATGCCAGAATGGCAGAATCAAAGTATGCTTCTATCTTTCTTTATCAAAAAGCATACATAAAAATGGTTAAAATACATCTATACCAGTCCGAGGTTACTTCTGAATTATCTTTGCAGTTTTACACTTAATCAAGTTTTAATGTATGTAGAGCCCTAAACATTTTGAACAGAGGACATGGATCTGAACAGGCAGCAGTACAAAATGGACACAGCAGTGTCCTTCATAGTATGTAACCTTGGAAGTTCCCTTTGTTTAGATTAGCTCTACCATCAAGGTCAAAATAAGAAGATAGGGAATTGAAATATTTTACAGACACTATTCATATGGATTACCGTATATACTCGAGTATA